TTTATAAATAATTACAATTCTAAATTTCATTATTTATAAATAATTACAATTCCCATTTTCATTATTTATGAATAATGAAATTTAGAATTGTAATTATTTATAAATAATGAAAGTGTGAATTGTAATTATATATTATATAATGGAAATACGCTTTTCATTATATATAAATTATGTAAATGTGAATCGCAATTATTTATAAACAATGAAAATTGGAATTGTAATTATTCATAAATAATGGCAATTATATATAAATAATGAAACGTACTTTGTCATTATTTATAAATAATGGAAATGTGAATTGTAATTATTTATCAATAATGAAGTATGAATTGTAATTATTTATAAATAATGAAAATGTGTTCAGAATTATATACAAATAAAAAAGTACATTTACTTGCATTATATGTAAATAATGGTTATTATTTGTAAAATAAAACTTATATAACATATAATTTGTCTATATATTGTTTTACAAACGGCGCCTCATACACACGTACACAAACAAAATAATCTGTTGTTGCATTGGTTTGAATACAAACTTTTTTCTACTATAATAATAGTGCGTTTAGAGGCGCTATATCACCCTTCCATCAATTTTCTTCCTCTAGAATATCTATCTCCCTTTGTCTTTTCTCCTCTCACTGCACGGTACATTCCTCTTGTTTTCGCCATTCGATGGGGAAGGGGGTGGAGGGGGGTAGGGGCACATGCCCTTAGCTGCATACGTTTTCATAATTATAGTGTCATATTTGTCAATAACGACTACTTGTTTGCAGTGGAAGTATCGTATTAATCATATTAACAAGCTCATTCTGTTTAGTCACCAAAGAGCTTCATACCAGAAGGCATTTTGTTTTATTTTATTTTATTCTTTTTGTTGTTGTTGTTGTATTTTATCATTTCTGCTCGTCACAAAACAGTCGCGCTTCCACCCAAACCAACCACCAGAGAATCCTCGTACTACATAAAGTGTGTAACAAAAGCGTACCAAACTTTGGTAACTTCTAATTAACAAGTTATAACCTATGAGACCTTGAATATTATTTCATGGTAAAGGGTAACAAATATCACGTTTAATGATATCATATTCAAATATGCTGCCACGGATGACTGAGCAGCAGGCTTTTCAAAAGGCACTGTCAGAATCCTCTTGTACTGACCGCAATGAATGTGGGTCAAAACCCATTTTGTGTGTGTTATCTCATTCCATAAACAATTGCTTAGTTATTTACATTCACTATTAGGCAGTTGAAAAGAACATGACTGTGTTAATATTAACTGTAACTCAAACTCAAGGAAATGCTCATTACGAGCAAAATATACGATATTATCTTCGTTATGATGATAACAATCTTGAATTCATTCGCATCCCTTGTTTCAAGGTAACCCTTCTCATTGGAGATACAAAGTGTTTAATTTTTTCTTTGGTGTGTACTTTTTTAAATGAAAGTCTACTGTCGGTTTCTTTGAAACCTCACCCAAAGTCATATCTTAAGTTTGGAACGAATCCAGAAAAGAGCATGTAGGACCATACTAGGTGATCAATATATTAATTATGACAACGCTCTTGAAGTGTGTTCTTTGCAGACCCTGTCAGATAGACGCAAACAATTATGCACTAATTTTGCTTCATCTCTTGTCAACAACCCACTTTGTAAACATTGGTTACCTGTTAACAATAATGTAGATTATTCACTGCGAAGAAGGACCAAGTATCGTCAATTTCATTGTAAAACGAACCGCTATAGAAATAGCTCAATTCCATACCTAATAGACCTGTTGAATGCATGAATGAATCTCAATTGTCTACCTGTTGAATGGTCCGGTGTCTCATTGTCTGCATACATTTTTACATTTTTACATTTTTACATTTTACATTCCGCATTTTAAATTTTAAATTCTATGCTTCCATAATTACTTGTAACATCTTTTTAAAATGTACATTGAATAGTGATAAGGTTTTGTAGCAATCATGACATGGCAATTCAGATCAAATGGTGTTCAAGTTTTTAATTCATTTGCTTATTTCTCCCCAATTTACGAAAGTCGGGAAGGAGCTTACTTGTTTTTTTTTTTTTTTTTTTAAATACCCGACACTCCTTGACACAAGAGAGGTCCAGGGATGAGCGAGCAGACCGTTAGCTAGTGTATGGGAGTGTGAATGGGAGTGTGTATAAGAGTGTAAATGTGAGTTTTTATGAGAGTGTCCAAGGTACAGGAGTGAGAATAGGAACGTGTATAGGAATGAGAGCGTGTATTGAAGAGCAAAGGGCCTGCTTGCTCATCCTTTGACCTACTCTTGTGTCACCTCACAAAATATATTTTAAACGTGAATTAATTTGCCTGTTATTGCCTTAGTCATATTAGTTATGAACTTTGTTATGAATTTTGTTATATACTGTATATTATACTTTGTGACAATGTCAACCACATTTGTATGTATTATAATTCATTGTCAATGTAAATTGTTCATAATTCAGCCACCTGGCTGCGAAGTGCAATCAATAAAACCTTTTCAATCTCAATCTCAATCTCAATCTCATTACCATCTACCACCTTTTCTGCATTTGGGTTTAGTAACTTTTTAGTTTTCATTCGCTATTCGAGATAAACACCCTATGCTGCTCCTTATTACGCGTGAGAAATGACGCAGTGGACAAGTGAGCAGAAAGAAATTACATCTAATGAGACAAACAGTTAGTAGACTGTTCAAATTAATTAAAAGGTTATCCTTGAATTGAAACAAGGTCCTGTGATAACCGAGACACATTACAAATTTCAAACAGTGAAGCACTGAAACACTAGGCATAGTTTCACTTTTAAAAGAATTAAAGTAGATATTCATTGATTTTAAAAACTAACTTAATTTCATTATTGCAAAGTTGAAACTTTGATTCGACAAGGTTATACAAATTCAATGCTTGGAAACATTCGAAGTAATAATTATTACAAATTATAAAACGCTTAAATACAGTCCCGGCATAGCACCTGAAGAGCTCTCCGAACGCTGCTGAGATGTGTGAGATCACAGTATGGACACGATTTGCACAAGCAGACGATGTCCAATGACATCTCACACATTTTCAGTGCCTGTGTTTTCATCTTCTCTTGAGTTCTTTCTCTTACTTCACTACCGTCAGGCTAAATGTATAATCTATTGCCTCACTCTAAAGTTTAAACCCCGCACGTGGCTTTATTTTGATGACAAATGCAGCGATACACAAATAAAGGAACCTGTCGCTTGTAAACAAAATAAGACGCCATTGAATATTCAGCTGCACACACCGCGGTAGGTTCGGCGTTTCAAGAGGGAACAAATGCCGTCCTTAATATCATTCCGGGGGGTTTTCAATTGGAAAGTCTGGTTTCTTTGATTGTTAATTAACCCCTATCCTGTGTATTTACAAGCAAAAGATTTTAGTTATCGGAATCGGGTCATATCCCCTTTTGAATGGTTTGACATGCCATCACATTTATATACACTAAACTCATTTTAATTTGACAAATAAAAGCCTTGCAATTATTTGCATTCTTTATGGGATGTCGTCTGCTTGGTCAGTATTGGTCCATATAGTGACGTCATTAAAACATCGTTATTTTTCCGGCGAATCTCTCGAATATCCCAGCTGCTTTGCAGGTGGTTGTATTTGTATTTTTATAAATCACCCGATATGTAGTTGACCTAAAACGTGTACGATGGCCATCTGTTAGCTTACCAGTTTCTAGTCATACAGTAGTTGACATATTTGTGATTTTCTTTGAATTTCACCTTTAAGAACATGCATATGGCCTGACCAACCTTCGTTCCATCCGTCAAAACTTGGTAAAGGGCGATTTTGACAACACTTTTTAAAGACCCTGGTGCTCAGTCACCCGAGGCAGAAATGTTATGAATAGGGTATCATGCGGGCAGTTGTTGTTGTTGTTGTGTTTATCGGCGCTATCCATCGATTCCGATGATTTCCGCCAGGCTGTGTATGAGGGCGTCTTGCTCTCACTTCTGCTGCTCTACGTTTCTGTGATTCTGATACTTGCCCGGTGTGTGAGATAAAGATTTATCTTGACCTTTGTTATTGGCGAAGTGCAAGGTTATGGAGGATTAATGTGCTCGTTACCCACTATTTGTTAGTCATTCAATGTTAGAGATGGTTGGAATTAATATCATGAAGTTTTGGTGTCAATTTATAGAGTTAATGATAAATAATGTGTCTTATGTTTAATAATAGTATGCGCATTTAATAATCGGCTGCCATCATTTATTCAGGCTTCGTATGTCCATCATCTCCTCCGTCACTCTGCTACTTTTATGCCTAAAGGCATGAAAAGCACAAGAATGATAACAACACAATGCTATAATACACTTTATAATTCTCTATATCTTCCAGTACCTTTTATGAAGACTAAAATGAGCAGAAAACTAATTACTCTTTATCAAGAAATACATTTCAAAGTTATATTGGTTATGACTTTGTAATTAGAAGCTACTAAAGCTGGGTACGCTTTAAAAAAAATATATACGCACTGTATAATCAACTCACAACGCTAGATGGAATTCACAAGAGGCATGGGTTACTACTATTTTCACTCTGCATCTCGTTGGACATTGTTCCTCTAGCATTTTCATTATATATATATATATATATATATATATATATATATATATATATAAATATGTATATATATATGTATGTATCAAGAAATAAAGGTGATACTTTTTTTAAAGAAAACAAAACAAGAGGCAAAGTAAATCTTGAGCAGGTTTTCCGGGTTAAAGATGCATATTTAGCAAATATTCCTGTACCCTCGGCATTGTCTCTCCATCGAGTTCCGACTTAAAATGTATTCACTTAACCACCAGGATGGATGTGATTTTATTCTGTCTCTTTCGAAACACTCGTATACATTTTTAATTCGTAATTTCCCTATTTGCTGTTCTTGCACCTGCCATTTTCACATGATGAGTTCAAAATAAAAAAATAATACTACCGAATATGAATCGATTCTTTTTCAAAACGTATTTATGATAATTTTCAATATACCTGTTGTACAAAACGGTTCAATTGCAGACATCTATCGAACAATTTTTTTTCATCACCATCTAAATGTGTAAATAAACAAACATAAATACATTGGTGGCTAGTTGATTTTAACAGTTTTCATTGTTACATGTTTGTAACACACAGTATAAATAAATACGGAAGATTATTTCACGAAATAACCGTAAGAGTTATTTATAGTCTCTGTAAGTGCCCTTAATCCTTTCATTACATAACCATGCTTTTAGTTGATTAAGAACAACATTATTCTAAACTTCAGCTAGCACGTGTATTATACTAAAACGATGCTTGATTGTGATATAGATAATTGTTAGTAATTTAACATTGGAATATATTTTCTCAAGGGCGTTAAAATAAGAAATGATAACATGGTTACATCTTCAATGTGAATAGGACAAATATTTAATCTCCCCCATTTATTCTATTCCAACCCACATTTCAGACGACTTGTATTATATTTCTGATTCTCGCATTATATATTATTTGCATGAAAACATAGCGTTTCTAGAGAGTTAACAAGATCTAGGAAATGATATCACGAAACAAACTCATGATATAAAAAGAAACAAACATATAAATATCACTGCATCCCTAGATTTACATCGGAATCATACTGCATACTAGATGAAAAGTTTTCATACAAACATATTACTTTTCCAAGAGAATTGTCGGGGAGCGGGGGTATTCATACGTCAACATCTATAGCTTCATTACATAACGTGTAACATGGATCTTCAAAAACAAAGTCATCATCGAATACAAAAAAATGCAGTGGCCTTAATGAATTTACAATGATTTGACAAACAAACACAATTACATATTTAAAAGCACGTACAATTTCTCTTCTCTAATAGTTACACTTATTGCTTACAATAGATTGGACCGGATTCGAGATTAAACATTCTCCCACAAAATAGGATTGAATTGCAGTAATGTAATGAAAAACAGTATTTAAACTTCAATCCAACGCACAAGCCATATAAGATTCATCAAATTGTGTCCAGTTTTTTAATCATAGGGGACGACGTATACTTTTTTTTTTTTTTACACTAATGGATAAAACAAGGACGAATATCATTATCATCCCTAATGTATTACAATATTCTACACATTAAATGAACTTATCTGTATTTGAATGCAAATACACGTCGAAAAAGAAACCGGAACATGCCTGCTTTATGTTTCTAGTTGCCTTTGTAAAGTTTTGAACAGCAGGTGGATTTAAACTGAAAATGACCGCTGAGCGATTATACCATTTAATAATAACTAATATGTCAGATTGCCGATGCAAGCGAGAACGTACTGTAATTTTTTTTCGAAGAGTTTTTTCTCGAAAGGTGTCGTGGTTTATTGGATACATCGCTTGACGGTGAATAATAGGGTTCGCGGTTCGAGTCCCGCTGCGGCACTAATGTTCTTTGGCAAGGTATTAATGTCCAATTGCCACTTTACACCTAGGAGTACCCGATAGGAAGAAATTCCTGGAATACTTGAGCGCATTCTCATGGTAACTTGGCTTAATTAAGTCGGTGTAATATATGATTGCAGGGCCCTCAGGGAGAACAGTATTAATACTGATGAGGATACCCTGGGTAAACAAGACACATTATTATTATAATTATTGTCATTATTATTATCATTATCATTATTTTTAATTAATATTATTTTCTATTTTATTTATAATAATTATTATTAATATAATTATTATTCTTATTATTATCAAATTGTTCTTTATATCATTATTTAGGGTATAAATTTTGTTAGTTTATATTGTTTTGATATGGTCTAATGTAATGACAATAAATCGAACGTGATTCGTTGGATTAATCTTGAGCAGAAAACCTTGTTTTGAAAATGATCTTCTAAAGCCTGATTTATGGGATTCATTAAAGAAATCAAACATGTTTTTAATTTGCATTCAATACTTGAATTTGATTATTACCGTGATGCAAAAAGTAGGGTGGAACAAGATGTCTAAGACAAAATAATGCCCCAAACATTAAATGTATTGTCCAAGGAATTACATAATCTCATCCTTTAAGTCATAATATCGAAATCAATTCCGGGAAGTTTGCTATTTTTATCAATTTTACACATATCTAAACGTCGTTTTGTGGTGATCTGTTATCGCCAAAAATAAATAACTTTACCGTCTAATTATAATTATGTTCAAAATAGAACAGATGACAGATGTATGGGTGAGAGCAGGTCTGTCAAACAAATTTCTCTCCACACACTAAAAAGAAAAAAAATTGTCCAAGTCAGATAATATACAATATTTCACAGCCACAAATATTCAAATTTCTTGGTGTTATATTTTATATATATTACATTTCACTATCGATTCCCTGATCTATTATACGACATTCATTTTTTGCTTTGTACACATTTCAACTAATAATGTCCAGTCGGGAGAAAAAAAACCATTGCTTTAATCATAAGTTTGAGAAGACTACAAAGTACATTATGTGGTCACCTTTACGTGCAATTGCATCGTCCAATTAATATTCCTTGCATAATAATTGAGGCCTCAAATCGACTCAACTCCAGCTACAATATTTTAATAATGTTTTGAAACCATATTTCGTTTGAGACGTAAGCCAAAGATTTGTGGGTCTTTAACATATACCAGGATAATTTATTAATCATAATTTCGCGTTACAGCAACCTCTCCGTGGAGGATACAAAGTTGTCCAGTATAGCTAGTATAGTTATATTCTGCGATTACACTGGCATATGCTCTACGTGCATTTAGACTACTACGGTAATTAATATATCTGACCCCTTTAAACAGCCCTTTGATGTGATTTACAACTCTGTTTGGTAAGATGTATTGTATTCTACACGAAGAAAGTTCTATGGTAACGTTTAACGATATAGCTCTATCAATTACCCTAAACATTTTTAAAAAATCATTTTAAATCGTATTGGCAAGATATAAAAGTGTATGCAAAAGGGAAAAGGGGGTATAATATACTTTTCCAAATATTAGTTGCGAGTTGCTTTGAAATTCTTAAACATTACAATTCACATTTTTCCGAGGCATAATCAATTAGAATGTATAAATCTTTGTGCCGTTACGAAGAGAGCGATCTCGAATAAATGTTATTATAAATATCAACTTCATCCTTTTATACAGCTATACTTCAATTATGTGCATATATACATAAAATACTACACAAAATATTAAATCTCTTGATAAATAGGTACACAACATTGCATCTCTCATAATCCTAATAAATTTAGTATCAAAGCGAGTATCTTTTTATGATGAACATTCTTATTCTATTAAATGCATAGATTTACATCGTAAGTGAATAAAATTATCACAACAAAATCATCTTGATATGGGAATCTTCAATCAAAAGAAAATACACCCAGTTGCTATATACCAAGAGTTTCCTAAACACTCACATTCTCTTTGACAATTAGACAATCTGTAAAACATCATGGGATGATAGCACATTTTTACTCACAAAATTGTCTTCGGTGTCCTCTGATAACCAATATTTATAATGGGTCATTGCACAACGAGAGAAAATTTTCTTCTTTTAACTTCTTTTAAACCTACAATCATAATCGCTTGGCTATGAGAAATTAGGCAATATAAATTAACCGAGATCATAGTCCTTCAAAACCACGTGACCGATCATGTGATAGGCACATGAAATCACTGAGTCAAAATAACTTCTTACAAGTGCACTTTTCTTACTTTAAATTACTAGACGTGTATTGCCAGAAAACTCTTTAATCTAACATACTTCAAAATTTAGTAACTATACCAAGATTATATTATTGCAACAAAATGTTAGGGGAGAAACAATACTTTCAACTGTCCCTCGATCAAATAATCAATAAAACTCTATTTAGGACAATTATTATTCAGATAAATACATTTTTCAAACTTTCAAGATAATGCAAACAAAAAAAGAGTGCCACATCAGATATCTGAAATTTATTTTTAATCTTAACAGTACCTGTCTACCTAACGTGTCAAAAATCACAAGGGAAATGATTATTCCTTTTATTCTTACTAATCACTTATTTTAATCAAACAATCGTCATGAACCGCCAAACTATCAAATTCAATAATCATCACGGCAGGTTACGTTTTCGCCGTCATCTATATTTTTCCTTCAATAAAGCAAGTAATGACCACATTCCAACTGTTATTCTGATCCAACAACTTCAAATAAAATACAATGGGCTGCGTACTTCATTAATTCTCAAGCAAGCCAAACATTTTAAATCAGTATTCAACTTCAAAATAGTTTAAACCACTCCCCGGAGTTTCTGCCAACATTTCTTTTTCACTTTCCCCTGGCGATAAACGGCATTCATGTTAATATTAAACACACTAGAAATGTACAACCTCACTTTTCAAAGTCCATAACAAGATAGTTTCGACTCTAAGACTGACATTTGACCTCTCTGGCGGATGTCATTTCGGTTCAAATTAGACGTAGCACACGATAGCATGGGATTTATAAGACGATGGTGGCGAATAATGCTGGTTGTGATACTGATCATCTTGATTTATCCCATCATTTTCTGAATTAGACGAGGCTACCCTGCTTAACTCCGCTCCTTACTTCGCGAGTAAAGGTCTAGGGATCATACAAACGCCATTCTTATTAGATTAAACCACTATTCTCGTACATGTGACCAGTACTTTCTGGTAGTTGTCTTCATTTGTCTCCTGTAATACTCACAGAAACAAAGGGATCACCTTTGTTATCTTCTGACCGATAGCTTGGTCCCTGGTCAGACTTGAAATGTAGGTTATCAAATAGAGGGCTCCTTTCCAGAAGTTTCAATAGAGGGTTAACATATGTCTTCTGCATCGATAAACGGGAGCTGGTGTCAGATGTTCCTAAGTCTTGCACATTGGTGGGTTAACATAACCGAATACGTTCATTTCAACCATGATTGAGAAGGAGAGGAAGACAACATAAAAACAAGTCAGTAGCACTCCGAGCCGTTTGTCTAACCTCCACTTGTTGAAATGAATCGCCAGTATCTGCGTTAAAAAGTACAACGGGAATGAATTTTAGTTAGTTATTAGCCGAAATACCCAACACTAAGAAAATAATCATAATGCGAGATTGATTTCATGTTAAGATCTAGACGAAATCTGTAATTTATATACAGTTAAATTTTCATTGGAATCTGCATCTGTTGCATGCATGACTTATATTGTAGCTATTCAACCTTATATCCACTTTTGCAGGAGACTGTCGCTTGACTTGATGCTGGCAATACAGGTCACCCTTATTTGCGGAGAAATCACTTGATTATCCCGAATTACTTCACATCATTAAACAGATTAATCTTTAAGCATGATCAATTAAAAATATGAAAGAAAAGCAATGATCGTTCCGATGATATATAACAAATGTGGGAATTATTTTGAATTTACCAATATACTTTGATAACCTGTACTTGTTCATGTGTTAAGAAGAGGATACGTAAATTGCCTCTTAAGGTCGCCATGGTTACATTCGCTCTCTTTTTCACTCATTCAAATGACACTTAAAAAGATTTTGAAGAACCATATAAGTGTTTGATCTTTTGTTCGTGACGATAAAGAGATTCGTGATTGTGAATTTCCAATCATTAGAGATTATGAAACTGAAGAATATGATAACAATAAGACTGATAACTGGAGTATGATAATCACACCATCAAGAGTTTTTTTTGTTACCTTTTTGTATGATAAAATGGTAATTAAAAACTGTAATTCCATCAACACTATAGTCATATGGTAGAATTTTCAACCTCTCGCAACTGATGCTGAAATGCGACGTACCTGCAATTATTACACCATTATGTGCCTAAAAGCCTAAATCTTTGCTGAGAGCCAGAAGGGCGTTAATTCATATTATTTCACATATCGTAGCTATCCATCTGGCTCTAAGAAGCTGCCAATGATCATATTTGGATAATGTGACATATAAGTATGTCTTTGGGATGGTAATGGGGAAAATGCAGTGATTATTTTGACTTACACACAACTTTTCAAAATGGTCATAAAATTGTGATCATTTTTCAGTGTAAAGTTTGACAACATTTTAAACAAAGTGTTAACCTCCTTATAACTAAATTATCTAATGCCCATATGTTAGATACAGGAAGCCCTATGTTCCGGTGGGAAATGGATTAAGAACAAAGAATCAGCAGTATTTTCTTACCGTTGCAGTTACGGAAGCAAATAAGAGAAGAACCGAATAAAGAAGACCCTTACTGTTGATCTTGATCTGTTCCATGTAAACAAATAAATAAAGAGTTAGAATAGCATGAAATATGTCACGTTTCACGAGTATGTAAAGGTGTACATTTAATAGTACATGTAATGGTACATGTATATTTAGAGGTGTCAGATGAGACAGAATAGTTTACAGTTTAACAATGATAACTCATAAAATTAATACCTCCCTCCGATCTTCAGAACTATTCTGAAATTCATCATGTATATAGCAATTCTCCAAGAAAAGTTAGAAAAGACAGGTAATACTATGAAGCTTAAAATAGTTATGCAACTTCTTTGTACATTTATAGCAACTTTCAGTAAATGTTCACAATGGGATAAATAGGATACTGCAGTATAATACTTTGGCCCATTGAACACAAGGCGTCATTGCCTACGCTAATCGAGCCTGTACAGAAATAATTTATGTGGGTCACGATGCCAGTAGGCTAATTCAAAGTAAAGCCCTCTTCATTCCCTTTTTGAAAGGTATCACCCTTCAAGGCATGCCAAAGGCTCTGCCAGTCACTGACGTAGCACTGCATCAATGATACCTGAATGCAACTGGCATTAAATGTATTAATGTTTTCTGTGTGCATGCGCGTTTGTGCGTGGGTGTGTTTGTGTGTGAGGGTGTGTTTGTGTGTGCGTGTGCGTGTATGTGTGTAGTAGAATGAGTAGTTGTAGTAGTACTTACTCTGGTACCGTAACTGACGAATGCTGTCTTAATAAACCAGGGAAGTGCCAGCCCAATAAGAATGTCAAAGACGTTACTGCCAATGCTGTTTGATACTGCCATGTCACCCAAACCTGAACATGAGAAATATAGAAGATGCTTTAAACTTTCTTTAGCCCCTGCTTGATATCATCACAATTTAGTGACAGCAGATTATAAAGATCAAAGTATAGCATGTTGAGGTTTTATGCGCAGTCATCCTGACTAAGAAACTGCTGGCTGGTAATATGAGTAAATTGTCCGTAGTCCAGTGGTTTGATCAATCTGGACTAGAGATATGGAGGCTAATAGTTCAAGACCTGGCTCATCATCCATTGGGTAAGATAGGGTTATTTATTTACATTTACCAATCCATACCAGGGAGTGAAACTGGTAAGATGCTACGACTGGGAGTGGAGATAATCAACATAATATTCTTGTCAGTAATGACTGTGACGACCTTGATGATTACGTAACGGGATTGAGAGTTGCAGGAGGTGTAGACAAGTTATTCCATCTATACATTAATCTCTCTTGAACATAATATTGTTGTCTTAATGACTCCAAATGACCTTGATACTTACGTAACGGGAATGAGAGTTGCAGTAGGTGTATATTCTTAGACAAGGTATTCCTTCAATACATAATCTCTCTTGAACGAGGTGTAGTACAGAGGTATATATAGTTATACTTATCAATCGTAGTAGTAGTTTTATCATTACTTTACTGTTAATAACAAGTTGCATACAATTTCATTTTATAATAATTATTATCATTCTTACAATACTCTTTAATATCAAGATTTACATCATTGTTGCTATTGATGATGTTATTGCTGTTATTGCGGCTGTTGTTATTGTTATTGTTTTATCATCTACGATTTGATCATTATTACCTTCTCTCGCAACCAGTAAACTAGCGATAGCATCAGGAACACTGGTGCCAGCGGCCAGGAAAGTAATGCCCATGATGGTGTCGGGAATGTGAAGGGTGTGGCCGATATAAGCCACCATCCACACCATGACGTAAGAGAAGATAGCAATCCATGCTACTGATATAAAGAATGTAACCATGTACCACCGATCGAAACGTTTTCTTCTACAGTCCGGGATTGTGAAGAACAGTAGAATACAGATAGGTAGGGTGACGATCCATTTGAGTATGTTTATTATACCACCTGTAATGAAGAAAGGAATGAAGAAAGAGGTCTTCAGGGTCGATATAAAGGGGGAATAGAATATAACTTCCCACTAATTTTCTGTCCGTAAATTTAATTGGTTTTCGGCCATGTTGGCCAATGGAAAGAATCGATGGCATTTCCCCTCAATTCTTGTTGGAAAAGTTTGGTAACTCCTGACGGCATATTAGAAACTTATCAACTTGTTCTACCTTGTTGGAGATAAACCTAGTCTTACATCCCCATTCCTCCTCTACGCAAAATGTTACTACTTTACTGGTGGGAAGGCGAATTTTCCTTGGAGAGCGGTTTAGAACAAACAGTAAATCGTACCGCTTTTAAACTCTTCAAAAGATAAAACTGAGGGCTAATTTATCGGAACACTGCGTGCATTTCTCAAAAAATAACTCACCAAAACTAAACGTGTTGATTAACAGAACAGGCAAGTAATTATATTTTGTAATTCCAGTCTATATAAAAAAATTCTAGCGGCAACTAACAATGAATAAAAGCTGTTATGGTTAGTCCTGCATGATCATAGAATGAATATGTCTTACTTGGTAAACTAAAAGGAGAATCTATTTCTGGGAAGCTTCGCTCACTGATTACATCCTCTGTCCCCTCTTTATCAATCGACAAATCAACACTGAAATATAAAAAGAAGGAAAAGAAAAGTGTGAAACTTTCAGTCTATCTGTCAGTACTAGACATTTCAGTTGTTTGGGTTCATATCCCACCGCTGCCACCATGCCAACTGAAACACATACACAAACACACAAGCACACACAAACAAGAAACTCACAACAGGGGTGTAACACTAATCAAAATGAGTCCTCGCCATTGAATGCATAGGAAAGAGTGACCGCGGCCAACGCAAGGTGGCTTAATATATTACAAACCATTATTTGAACTACAATGAAATTCCATAATTTACACTGAAAAGAGAAGATTTAATATTGACGATATATAGCTATATTCAATAAAACAATGATTTAAAAATACGTGATACATATCAGTCGTTATAATCACGTTTGTGTTAAGGAAGAGACAATAATTTTGTCATCTTTTCAGTAGCAAATAAGATTTGTTTAAATCATTGAAGTTGAAACAAGTTAAGCACTGAGAGAAGACAAGTTATACGAGTCTCTCTACTATGACCCTAGAGATGGCATCTGGAATGTAACGGCCTAGAGTTACTGTTTTGGATAAACAAATATATTCGTCCAATGAATACATAATTTATCTAACGGTCAAATGGCTATGTCTGTCTTTAATATGATTTTTTTTCTCTGGATTTCTATATCTTCTTGACTATAGTCTCTTGTGAGACAAATCCAGTCTGAATAAAGTTACATAATAACCGTTGAGTGTAGCATTCCTTACCTCTCATCTTTGCATATGGAGTCACTCCGAGGTACATTGCCGTTCTTCTCTGTCTCTGGTAGGCTTGGCCGGTGGGTGTATGTCGTTGGAAACTTCCCGCCGCTTTCAGCCTCCAATTGTTTTTGCTGTTATGGTAAGTAAAAAAATCCGTGTGTTTTTATAAATAACAAGTTATTTCTTTGAATGGGAAAAGATCATTACGTCCGGGCTTTCATAAATTTGAATTCTTATTTCACCGAAAATGTACATTTTTATGGCAGCATCGCGTATTCCTCTTTTTTTAAAACCATCATTCTGTTTCTTTGGCATATTCCTAAACGTCATAACAGATCCTGCAAACTTTCAAGCCGATGGGAACAACTACATGTGGAAACAAATTTCCCATGATTATAGCAATAAAAGATAGCCTTCATAATTATTCTGATTAACTATTTTTCTGATTTATGAAGAAATTGGTTGATTTCACATGTTTCCAAATAATTGATACCTCAGTGATGATGAGCCAACATGCAGTCCTCAGTCGCGTGCGAGCAGGAAATTGCTTGGTTAACATCAACCTCAAACCAGCATCAGAAAATGTTAATCTGAAACAAAGACACAAACATATTAATATCGTAGCAATATCTTGATACACTGGTAGCGGAGATAAGATGATATGGATAGAGACGGTAATCAATATTGAATGAATACACTGCATACGATAAACAACTGTACCAATATCTATTTCCCTCCCAGGATGAAAACCCAGGATGAAAACCCAGGATGAAAACCCGGGTGAATAGATTACTTTCCTTTCATTTATTCTACCCAGTGTTTGGCTTCATTTATCATGGGATAGTGCAGAGAACTTCGTCAAATTTAGATGATTATTTTGTCTCAAGCGTTGACTGTTCATAATACCATGCAAGTATACAAGTACTGTGGAATAAGGAAAACCACTGGTGTAAATACCCTCCAAATGTAATGTAAAAAAAACAAACATAAGTCCAAAAATAGTGAATTCAACTAAAGGACCCTCAAAAACGTTTCCCCAACGAGCATACAAGCATGTTGGGCATGGCATATACTCTCCATCGCATATACCACTCTCCAACTATTTTACTACAACACTAAGCATTCTATTTACACCTTAAAGGTCAAGGAATAGTAAAGTTTACCTTTTAGGTGAATTGCTGAACTCTCCATCGACCTCTTCTACTTCTTTCTTTTCACCATTCGTCGTGATATCTTCTGTTGCATTGAGTGGTGTTACTATTTGATGTAAAACGGATACATTTATAATGAATAGAATATACCATCGAATATACCAAATGATCCAATATGTAGTCTCGTCTGCATGCAACACTCTATCCATTTTATGCTAGTCAAGGGATTTGTACTACTCTGACATCACTAATTAAATAAAAAATGGCAGATCCCATGGGAGAATGGTTACCAAAAGACTGTAAACTTTGAAGAGATTGCTTTTCCATGATATGTTATCAAATAGGAGTAATTTTAAGACATGTTTAACTGGCCGACAGTTTTGAATAAGATTATCAGCTAATGTTTGTTTGGTTTCATTCTCCGTTAATATCTATACAGTAAATAAATTGTCGAACGCCATCTGGTGACTTTTTGTAGCGAACCCGCTCGCTCAATTCCTTCGACAGTACGCGATAAGCAGGTTTATAAATATTTTTTTTTATAGGAATTAAAGAGGTCACAGTACAAAATGCTGCTTTCAGTGCACCTAGCTATCTAATTCTTAATGACATTATTGATAAGCTGTTTTTCTCTGTATTATGAGGAATAAAACGTTTGAATAGGAAGAGAAATAAAGTCAAAAGGAGAGAGGTAAGATAAGCAGGATGAAATTTGTTGACAACAAATAAGATAATAATGTTTACATATTACTTCATGACAATCTAATTACTACGTTGAAAAATAGATTTAACATGAACAGTCAATTTTGTAACGGTTTGAAATGCACGCAACGAGATTCGTCCGCAAATTTAACGATGCCCTATCTTCGGACGACCGCTTTCCCCCTACCCTATTCAAACGTCCCATCCCAATCCCACGGCAAACAATCTGCTTATGACGTCATCGTGATCAAATATCTCTCTAGATGAGGTCCATAGAGCTGCAAAAACAAATACAATTACTCCTGGGATATCCAAAGCGGGCATGGATAAACTGCCCTTTAATTCTCCTCTCATTTTTCTTGTTCTTCTATGATGTTTGCCGTGAAAGATGTTAACTGTTGATGTAAGGGCCATGACAAAATGTCCTTTTATTTGTGACTGATATTGCCATTACAATTTTACTGCTAGATTTTATCATGTTTTTTTTTAAAAAGAAATTAATCTTCAGATGCATCAATGATCTGGCCTCATTGATTATCCAAAAGCGTTGCTAATGTCAAAACTCACGTAGTTTATCAAGTTCCAAACCTGCATATTTTTTTCTTCTCGAAAAGACTTAATAACTGACGATTGCTTCAATTTCGACCTACCTTGCTCGAGTTGGATTGCAGATTTGCCGTTATTGCACGTTTCCCTCTTCTTTCTTCTCCTCTCGTTTAACCTCTGTGCTTGTTTAAACAGGCGGGGATTGCACCTGAGAAGTAAACAACATAGAAAACATTATATATGTATATATATATATATATATATATATATATATATATATATATATATAATGATTGATATTATGAGACTGGCAAGTAACTGTGATTTCTACCAAAAAAAATGCTAACATTACAGTGATATGAATTTGTTTAGATTGTTTTAAAGCAAGCAAGAAGAATGGGAATTCGATTAGGTTATTGGAAAGTCATTAAAATGGGTGAGGTCACATTATTCTTCCTGCTTTTGCATCCCAAGGCATTTAGAAACTATCATGTTATTTCGTGACGAAGCCAGAGATAAATATATATATATATATATATATATATATATATATCAGTATAAAACATAAATCAAACAGCATTTGATCTAAAAAAATGTAATGCATAAAACATTAAATCAATATATCTTTTGAATAATTTCTTAACCGTATGAAAACGGAATAATTATTTCGACACATCATGTGTTTGTTTGTTTTTTTCTTCATAGTTTCAGAAATTTCAAGCTAACAATTATTCTGAGTCTGATACATTGTACACTGCACCCTAATTCATAAAAGTAAAAAGCTGTCTTACTCACCACATAATGATCACGTAGCACAAATACATCAGTAGCATGACTAATGCTTCATACCTGAAAACAAACGAAAGAGAAAGATATAAATTAAAGTCCTGTAAAGTTCAACTCAGCTTCCTTATACTTCATTAAATCCCTACAGATATCTTATTAGAAATGCTTAGAAGTACAATGTTATCATAAATAATAATAAATAATAATAATATTCCGCTTTCATATAGCGCTTAAAGGGAAAGTCCACCCTGAAATTAAGTTAGTTTTAATAGGAGTAGAAAAATGAGAGAAACAAGTCAGTGAAAGTTTGAGCAAATTCCGATTAAAAATAAGGAAGTTAGGATTTTTGAAGTTGTGATCAATCAAACACAAATTGGCAACTCTATGACGTATCATGCGAGCTCAACTTCCATTTGCTCAGTACTAAAAAAATCTAAAATTTTCATTTTCCCTCAAGAAAAATTTCAACCATACATGCACCCTAAATACAATAATTGCAAATATGTTTCTATACTCCCCCTGCAAGGAACAAATATATATTCCGTCATCAATAACGAAGAAAACATGATTTATGGAATATTATGCACTAAGCAAATAAAGGAGAGTTCGTATAATAAGTCACAGAGTTGCCAATTTGTATTTGATTGATCACAACTTCAATAATTCATAACTTTCTTATTTTCATTCAGAATTTGCTCAAACTTTCACTCACCTGATTTTCTTATTATTCTGCCTCTATCGAAACAAACTTATTTTGGGGGTGGACTTTCCCTTTAATACATCAACGATGTCTCTATACGCGCTTTACAGATATGACACATACATATAAATAGAAATAGATAGAATCTTTATGCACAACATGTACGAACAAAGAACAGCAGAGAGTTGTCAGGTGGGAATTCGTATTTTAACAAGCAAGCCTTATAAATTACTTAGTTTAGAAAGGGATAACAAAGTCATGTTGAAAAAAAGGTATAAATGTATATTACCAAAGTTTATGTGAATCATCATGTTACAACACTGAAATTGAATGATAGATATTATATTGGAAATAAACGCACGTGCAAACAATATATGCTGCCTTTAAGTTTATTATAATGTTCTAACAAAGACAGATAGAAGATGTGAGCGTTCGTGTGCGTGTGTGTGTGTGTGTGCTGTAAGGGAATGTGAAAAAGAAGATAACACAGAGAGAGAGGGAGAGAGAGAGAGAGAGAGGCAGAAATATGGATAGATAGAACAAGAGAAGGAGTAATTTCTTTATTTACCATGTATAATAGAGTAAATAGGAACAAATGAATTTGCATGAAATAGGCTTGTAGATCTTACCAATTGATATATCCATCCCGAATGACCAAGACGAGAGTTACTACCGAAATTGCGTAGACCAATGTATCTCTGAATAGAGGCCACCATGACAAATGGACTACCTGTCAGAACAAAAACAAAATCACCATCATTTAAAGCAACAAAGCAAGAAAACTTATTCAGGGAGCGGAAGCATGGAAGCTAACAGCGACCAGATGACCCAAGGAATGGGATCCTATTTTACACCCGAGAACACATTATTCTGGTATTGATCAAATTATATTTTGTTCATGAAATTTATTCCACAAAGTATCAAAAGAAGGGGTGCAAATGAATAGGAAAGTATGGAGCAAGGGCTCGCATAAACAGGAAGTGGTATTGATTTAGCGTTATACCACACATGAACGTAACCTGTCAGAGGGACATTAACGTCTTCTTAAGAAGTGGGAGGTTCAAGTCAGGAATAATCCATACGACGAATCGGTAACGGAAACAAATTAATCAAATCTAATTGGTTTTGAAATGGGCATTTATTTAGTGTAGGTATCCGAACTGAAACCATTAAGAGACCCTTGAAAAATTACCCTCTTAAAGTTTACAACATTCACGAGGATTTAATTTCTTTCCAAGAGCAAGATACATGAATAAGTTATTTTTTCGACACCATTGCCACACATTTACTTTCCTCCATCCCTTCTCATTGCTCTTCTTTAGACATTAGACTTAGTTACAAAATACATCATATTCCTAACTCCGTTATAGTAGCCGGAAAAATGCATTCCTCGTTTCGCATAATCTTTGTGATCTTACTGTTCTTACAGTCAAAAAGGTCCCTACATTCTATGACTTTAGTCCCATTCCCATTACAAGAAAAAAGCGACGCCATATTAAGTGGAAGCTTTGCTTGCCCGAGGCCATCCAGCTACTGGGGATTATAACTGGTAACCAAGACGCCATGCGCCTGGCTAGAACATCGTCACATTCAATTACTCAAAATAAACGTAGATCGGCGAGAAGGTACGCCGAAATAAACATCACGCAATGTATGGATTATTTTTGATTCTCCGACGAATAATCTTACAATTTTTTTACAAATATTGACGAGTTTTATTTTGTTTAGGTAGTATAGAGTTTTGATCCAGTCTTTCAAACACGGGGCGTAAAACTGGCTTCATTATAGTTATGTTGGATTCACCACTAATGTTCTGTCCATTTCAGGAACTGGACGCGTTGAATTCTAATTTTATATGTTTCTCATTCAAATCTTCCACATGATGTTTTCAACCTACTTCACTACGGATCCTTCGAACAAGGCGTCCATGATTAACAAATAAATAAATTGAGATCCTACTTCAAGATCAGAAGCCTTGGTTTATGAAAGGCTAGAAAATTTGAATGAAGAAATTTTATTTTTATTTATATTTTTTTAAACGTTTTATTAACGGGTTTATATCTATCGTCGTATTTTCTTCGTTACTTTCACAGAAATAGAAATAATCCTGTTATATGTAGTTCACTGCTGCCTACTGTCTACATGTCGATTAAGCTTTTATTCATGTGTATTTAGCGGCATATCCAGCAAAGGGAGGAAACCTCGAGCCCTCCTCGCCCACCCGCATTTGAAGGCGAGAGGAAAAATCCAAAACAACGTATTGAGTAGGCAAAACGCGAAACTCAGTAATACATTACACCCTCCCCCCCCCCCCCCCCAGTCTGGGAGGAATTCTGCCTCTTTAAACTTCTGCTGAGAGTCAGAAGGGCGTTATAAACTCCTATTTGCAAATTAAAAAAAAAATGTTTTGTGGGTTCATAGTCGATGTGTCATCCGTTTCCTTACCCAACTTCTTCAACTCCTTGCATATCTGTGGGCGTATTTGATCGACTTTTAAGCGACCCATTGTAGATTATCCATTTCCACGTTGCATCACCTAAACTGAACTTTCTCTAGTTATTGTGTCTACAATGCGTTAATTACCTGACCGGCAAACAGTCCGCATAATCCAATGATGACAAGAATGTTGAAAACAGCTGATCCCACGATCGTGCCCACTCCTACGTCTCCTTTGGCAATGAACACACCTACGAAGTAATGGAAAGCACAATTACATATTACTTCAGGTACTGGGGCAATTCAAATGGTCGGAATTGTAAAGGTTCCGCAGTTTAAAATCATTCACATGAAGGCCCTATCTTCCATTTGGTGTATGTTATGATAATTATAATGCAAGACCATTTGAGTTGAGCAGTGGATTTCAATATAACTGCTTCTAATGGAACATATTGATCAATAAATAAACGAATTTAGACATGGATTATGCACAGTGTTCCCTATATTATGTAACAAATATCTCTTCTTAAAGGTAAAGACCAGTATTGGTAACGCCCCAATTTCAAAAAATGAAATGGAAGCTCTCATTACCAATCATGTGAAAGAATATGTTTTGACTAATACATGATGATAACAAATTTGCCGGGAAACCGCCTACTAATTCATATATTTGGTAAATTTATTTCTCTCATGGTCGTGTGAGAGAGATAGGGTAGTCCCATATACATCTTTCTGTGTATAGTGCTTGTAACTTTCCGAAGAATGGGCCAAATTTCTTATCATTTTGATGATTCCAGAACCTTGCAGATGCTAGATGCTAGATGATCAACCTTTTCTGATCGATTCCACAACGTTTCTTTCACAATGCAATCGCATGACCATTACTGGTCTTTACCTTTAAAATTCTTGTTATTTTCGCTTAAGTTTTGCTCGAATCTTTGGTTTATATCCTGTTTTAGCTGAGTTCAAACACCGATACGGGAAAGGGAAAACTGGAGAACTCATCAACGCCATTTTCTATGAAATATGGTTCTATGTTTCCAATTAATGCTCAAAGCCTCATCTTATACTCTCATTACTTCCTTCCTTGTGAAGATGACAAGGTAATGAGACAGTTCTTCAACCTTCTTCTCACCACGTGAGACATGACTGTCTTGATTTTCTTTGGGACTCCTCGTGAGAGAGATCACTGAAGCCATCAATCATATACCATCTGCTTATCATACGATTGGTTTCCCTATCACAAACCCACATACACTGTCAAAGTTAACACATTAATCATTACAGTACTGTGGATCGATAAATTCATACTTGACGAAATGATGCACAATTGCACATACATGAGCTTGGGATTTATCGGAACAACGACAAAAGCAGCTTAAAATTATGTTTTTTGGGGTAGTCAATATTTCCATTCATATCACAGTCGTCTGGGCGGGGGGCGTTTCACAAAGACTAAGATTGACTTAAGTTGGACTTAGGTAGATCTTGGTCTTTGTGAAACACCTCCCAGCACTGTACAGTACCCATTATGAAATAATGTAGCTGGTGTGCTGTTGTCCAATCTCTCTATTGTGTAAGTACTATGCTTTGCGCATAGAAACTTAGGCGTGTAAGAAATATTTCTCCTTATTATTGTTATTATTCTCATTAAATCATGCCTTTTGTAGGTTAACCATGCACTGAACTCCGTTCAACAGCATCGAGATAGTTCTCAGATGAAGTTTACACGCGTAAGAAGAAAAATTATTACGCAAAACCCCTGAGAGCCCTTGATTAAATCATTTTAAGTGCAACTGTACGTATGCGAAATACTTTACGTCATTCTGATGATTATTGTCTCTAGACAAACTAAATCAAGCGTCTATTATTAGATAGTATGAGCTTGCTTTCTCAACGATACAGTACATACATGAAGCTAAACCATGGAAACAGCCGAAATGACACTTGGCCATTTCCAGTTGGGAGTTACAGAATTTATTTAGGATATGGTTACTCGTAACAGACGTTTTATTTTAAAACAGTATACTATGTATAAAACCCAATTTGATGTCATATCACTATTACAATGCGTATAGTGTTAATTTTGAAGACATTTTCAGAGAATCTTCAGAGAAACTGTAATGTGATGTAATCAACCCTTTAGTTCACAACCCTTTCTAGGAATTTTATTTGCCATATTTCATATATTTGAAATGTGTTGTAACGATTCAAGCTCTATTTGCTTATGTTTCATCACCTTTGTGTGTTCATTCTTTAAACTGTATACTAGTTCCAACTTGCCTTTGATAAAACATAGTTATATTCTTTTTCATGTGATGTTAACTCCAATGAATTGTGAAATTGTGAACATGCATATAAAAAATAAATAGACAAATCAGCGGAGTAATCGAATACACTTTCATAGACTATCCCCTTTCTGTCAAAGTTTGAAGGTGTTTTTGACATCCACATCGTGACGTTACACCACATCAGCCAAAATAACATTCATATCACTGCCTGAAAACAGGAACCAATATACAGTGAGCGTGGCCACTAAAGGAGCAATCTGAGAGCGCGACTGAGAGCAATTTGGCCATGAGCATTATTATCTCATTCCCGTCCAAACAAGCTGGAATTTGCTCTCCCACGAGATGGGTTTGTAGAGTCCCATCTTTTTATGTCGTCTGCGCCACTTCACCATAATCCACTTAATGTTTTCATTGCTTCGCGCCTAACACCAATAAAATGCCAAATTGAACATTGGACATCACTGTGTAGGAATAATGTACTCCCGCGAAGGTAGATTATCGCAAACGCCTCTCGTTTCTTTCACATGCCACTTTTTTCTCTCTCTGTTTTTGTTTTGCCTCCATTAGAGACTTCTGAAAACCTTTAAAACAGTCTTATAAGAGTTTATTGGTAGAAGATGCAAAGTGCAGTCAGCCTTCCTAGGTATCTACTTCCTCTTGTTTGAAGAGGAAAATAAAACTTAAATTAAAAAAAAAATCTTACTTTTCGGCAAAGGAGAAAATCATAGCAATAGGTAAAGTTCATTTCTATAAATCGAACAGAGAATTTGTTAGTTATGACGAATTAAATATGGAAAAAGATACAGGGAACTTGGCAAGGGCAATTCTAAATTACTCATTAATATTTGTATTATACACCTCGTAATGAAACACAGGAGCTAACATTAACAAAGTAAGCAATAAACCCATAATTACGCCTGTACATGAATTAGTGCCAGCAGAGCAACTTGAAATAGCATCAGTGAAAATGATCTTGAGCTTTCTTCATAATCTATCATTTGCCACAACACATTCTCTGTTTAGCATTGTAACAAATTGAATCTGATCATGTGTATATGATAGGAGATAAGAAGCATTGAGCGGCTACCTATTACTGAAGTGAAGAGCTCTGGCGCAGAACTTCCGGCCGCCATGAAGGTTGCCCCGGCAACGTCCTCCGTTAAGCTGAGGTTCTGAATAAAGATGATGAGAAAAGGTGATGTGAGGAGGAAGATCGTGTGGGAGATGTTTCCAATGGAAAGATAAAGAAGAGATACAATGTTACTAGAATCGCCATAATGTCAATTCTTTCATTACAAAGTGCCTTTATTGAATATACCTTTGATAATACAATGGGTAGAGTCGTAGAGACGCTACATTTTACATTCATATTCGGCACTGTGTACATATTATACTCGTCATGTTTAACATGCGATTGTACAATGAGAAGTATTAACTCCTTTAATAAGAATGGTCGATTAAAATGTATGAAAATAATTTTAAAAATATCGCTTTATCAGTGAAAACCCTGGTAATTTTGTTCATTTCTCAATGAGAGGATCATTATGAAAAGTAGTTGATTATGTTAGAACAAATACTAATTATTCATTTAAAAATATTCTAGTCTTAAAAGGGTTTTAATTAAAAATACAACATTTTGAAATGAAATTGAAATATGCAAAATTTTCCATTAGTTATTTCTCGGACATGCATATTTTCTTCCATTGCTTCTCTACTGTTTGGATAATGATGGCCATGTTTCGATGCTACCTAACTAATCAACCAAATGAAAAAACAAGATTGACTGTCGGATAAGCGAAATATTTTCCTCCCACGCTGATGTTGTCTTATACATCCATAAGATGATAAAGACAAGATCTTTCTCAGACGGGGATACGTTTGTAAATGCTAAATGAAATACGAAGATGGGGGTACGAATAAGAAGCTTGATTTACAAAGTTATCATTTTATCAGAATATTCTGCTTGCGGAGTTGTCGATACATTTCTAATTCTCTCTCTAAAAGTCATCATCATTCCACTTTAAGGGTAATGGTTATAGGATTAAGGATTAAGACTAATGTATGTGATTATATCCTCTTCACTTTAACAATTTAGCACACAAAGTAATTCTTTATTTCCCCTAATAGAATCATTATGACCAATGCTGCAAAGAGCACCATTTTATTACAAAATTGAATATGTCAACATAGCTGCCATCACAACTATGTATTCTATAATAACAATGAGAGAGACGTTTTACATTCGAAACTTAATTCAATAATATTAAATAAACAATCACTCGCGTCTAAAGTGGACTGCTATCTCAATTACAGCAACTTACATTTGCATTTCGCTTATAAAAACGATTTTATAACAGTTGTTACCTATAAGGCACAATTACATCACGTGTATTCCCGAGACTCTACGTAATGGATATGTGAAGTATATTCACCTGTGTTCAATGTGGAATATAATAACTGTGGATGAAATGAGTTTTCAGGGGGATTAAACTTAATCATGTGTGCACATAAACGTCACGTTTTCTCTTGAACGAGTAAATCATGAAAGAAGATTAAATCGCATATTAAAATGTAGAGGGGGCTCAAGGGATATACTAAACAATTAGATGAAATATTTCGTATAGATATGACTATGTGTCAATGATGAAGTCTAAACGTAAGCTAATGGTTCGAATGGCATCATTATCAAAATTTTGAAGAGCCAAAAATCTACCAATCAGTTTATGATGCTGTGCATTTATCGCTTTATCCCCCTTTCCCATCAAATTTGCAAAGAAAACATTAACATGATGAGAATGTACATGATCTCATCAAAATTAATAAAAATAACTTTAACAACATTTACCGACCACCCACAAACACATTCCTCATTAAATTCTTTTCTACGATAATTTTGTTTCTTCGAAATTGAAAGTCTAAGTTTAGCTTGCTGGCCAGGTGATCTGTTCGTTTCTTACCTCACATATTTTCTCCAGCGAAGACACAAAATAGTCATCACAGACGATGGCCAGGGCAATAAACATGTATACGGCCTGTAGGGAGAAAAACAAAATGTGTTTAAAAAGGATGATGTTTTAAAATTGACCCAGTCATCGAATTAATATGCTTGTTAATTGAAAAGCAAGTTGGACACTTCTTATGTAATAATATGCTCTCAACAAATCACCACTGCACCGGTTGGTCATTTTGTACATCAACAAAGGCAAAACGGTTTATAAAACTAGCGTATGAATTGATTAAACAAATAAAAGTGATTATATAACAACATGCATAATTAATACAACTATTATAGAATTAAAAAAGTTTGTATAAATAGCAATGCCCCCCTAATTTTTAAATTGCCTAACTCCACGTCGTCCTTGGGATTAGTATTCAAAATTGTTGACGCTGTTATGACTTTGTGTTAATAAATGGATTTCAATGTGGTACATGGGAATACGCAATAATGTTTTAGAATAGAACACCAATGGTATGATGTTCATAAAGCCGTGACCTGAATTCTGCACAAGGACATAGGCAGGGAGTTAGCAAAGCTCTAGCCACAGTTCGGACTAGAATCCGATATTTTTACGTATTCGAGAATCTAATACCAGCGAAGGCATTGTCTCTTGTGACACCACAAAGTGCAGATGAACCTATTTGGTAATGCACGTCACACGAAACCCTGCGGCATGTCACATCAGAGAACATGGGCTAACACACTAAGGTCCACTTCATGAATGTTAACCATGCTCTTCTCGAGTAGAAGAAAGCATGTATTGGTACGTGTAAACACACAAAAATGTTCACTTAATGAGAGAAATGGTGCCAACGGATCAGGGATACCGATCATTAGTGGTTCATCATGTTTGCTGTGCCAATCTCAGAGTTTGCACAACCCGGAACGGCTCAGAGTGAAAATGACAGCTGTGAAACCGGGTTGAAGCTATTTTTGGAGCAGCTATCTGTCTTGCACATGATATGTAATGGGCTTCAACCACCATGCGGTACCCCGCTAATGAGCACCGACATCAAAGACTCCCTAAGTTAGAATCTCTGCCTGCCACTTCCTCGTATTCCATCTTCAGACAAACGAAAATAACCTACTCTTATGAAAACAAAAACGTCAGAATTTGATTTTTTTTCTGTTCTAGTAATAGCTAGCATAACTGCGGCATGTTGGATATAGAATGCGTTTTGTAATTGAATCTTTATAAAGTAAGTCATTGTCCTTGCTCTGAAAACTGTACAGGTACTGTACAAATAGATAGGTTCAGACTTTTGATCAGACATAGCATTCGAGGTTTGTAATGTTCAAAATTAGAGTCGATGCAGACTTTACCCTGTTTATATTTGAAAAGTTCACCAGGTCACGATCGCACATTGTTTTGAAGATCAGTGGTAGATATGAATCTCGTTTTCAGACATCTGCTATTGACAGATGTTCTAAGACTCAGAATCGTGAACAAAAATAGGACAGGGCACGTATTTAGGTTTTTAGGTGAAAGCTTTTTGAAGTTGATAATGGCAATGTCATTCATTTCCGACCCGTCCAACTATCCATGCGTAATGGTGGTAAGTGATTTCCCTTCTACATTCTTCATTCAAAATGTAATCTCACGTTTTGTTCATTCAGTTTAGGACACAGGAAGAAATTTGCACTAGGGAAGTTGAGAGGGGACAGACTCAGAGGTCATTTCAAGAAAACCCCATTTCATTCCATGACATAGACGCATCCTAGATAATTGGCAAATAATTTGGTGATTTATGTAAGAAAAAACACACAATCTATATCATATACATTTTATTATATTATATTTCTTTTTTCAGTGACTAAACTAGTATTATGTAAAGTAATGAAAAATGTAGCGTAATATTCTGGGAATCTATTAATATTAAAATCATTCACGAACCCCTCCCGAAGACTAGGCCTTATTGCAAATTTATCTTAAACTGTTATATGTTGACGCCATTTGCTGGGTAATTCAATGCCCGCGGTCTTAATAATGCGAAATCGTTCACCAATCTTTTTCCCCCGTTGACCTGAAATATCAACATGGGATTTTATTCTTTAATTCATGTACCACCTCGAGGGTCTACGTTTTTCCGATAACATTTTAGAAGGTGTGATGGCTTAGGAGTTAGAGCAGTTAGCTTGGAAACGGAAGGTCCCGGATTCAACCAGGCATCAGTTCCCGATTTCCTAGTTCAGGCTCCGTGGACATCATGAGTCAATTTGCTCCATTGTCATTGATTTTAAAAGGCTTTAAGGGACATCAATAAGATTTAATTATTAATGTATGCGACCGAAAAAATCATAATATCTAAAAGATGCGACTCTGATTTGACTTAATTGTTTTCAAGATTTATTTAAAGTAGTAACACTACACTAACTCCCTCTCCCTATTAACGCGCCTTGCTGATATCGCGAAAGCTTACAAATGCATTTTCACCAGTGTGGTAACCTAACACCAATCATTCAACCTATCAATCAAGGTATTGGAATGCCAAATAAGCAATATGACATTTTCTGTGGATATCAGATAAACATTGTTTGTTCATTCAGAGGTTCATTCGGTTCATAAAACGCATATAAACTCATGACGCTACGCAAACAAATTCATCATCCATTACTGTCAAAGTTGAAGAAGCGCACGATTAAAATGATGTCATGAAGTCGGTGCTAATCATATGAGACAATTTCGTGTGGAGTCGCACACGCAGCGGAATGACGAAGGTCACGTGATACACCCTGACCTAACATTAGGTTGGCTATGAAATGTCACACGTGTTTGCGTCGTTAGAATGTGACGCTACCAGTATGGCCTGCAGTCAATCAATTTCGATTTCTAGCGGGACAAGATTGGTACATCTAGTCATTTGGGTTCATTACGGTTTCTGGTGTCAATTGACTTTTGTCGTTTGATCCCTTACTTCATTAAACCTCCAATCTGGAAGATCACTTGAACATGTTGTCGATGTCTTCTTGACATTCGAATACGTCGGTAGATCTTAACAACCTAACCATGCTTCTACCAACGATTACATTGCAAACATACGATGATCGAATCTGGATAGGGAATCATCTCCGGTTCTAAGAATGTCAAACCGAAGATGTAACATCCAATGAATAGAAAAAAGTCTTGTAGATCAATAAAATACTAACCTATTCACTTTACTCTTGGGAATTACTAATCTACACTGAAGAATCTCATTTATTACAAAGGATTTATTTGTATATTGCTTTCTAGGCAATATCAGAAGAAATCAGTCTGAATTATGGATGGAGTAAGTAATATTTCAGTGAATTTTTTTCTCAGTTTACCAGTCTTTCAGCAACATCAATGCTCATAAGCTATCAATTGATTGATATGAGTTGACACTGACAGGTTTTTCATAGTAGTTTTAAGCATAAATACCGCTCGAATTCTACATTCATCTAACGAGAAGGCATATAGACTGTTTGACAAATAACAAAATGTATGAATGGTAAATTAGAAATTAGGATTACGAATACTTTGTTCATGTAAGAAAATAAATCTAGTTAACAGACGGAGAAACAGATGCATACTTACACATATGGCATGTGTGATAAACGCTCCTTTTGCTCGTTGCTCTTCTGTGAACAGATCTCCAGGGAATTCCTCAATGGCTGAAAAAAGGAGAAAATTGACAAAATATTATGCAATCTGTGTCGATAAATTTATACGTGGAAACCTAATTTGAACCAAAAAATAGGTGAAACATGGAGAAAATTTAATTTCTTTTTTTCAAAATTTTCAAGATTAGTGAATATCATTTCATACAAATGATTTTGTAATGTAATTTCATTTTTATCTGTTGAACTAGATACGAAAAACAGCGTGTCAAGTTTTTTTCTCTTATCCTCAAGCGAGGTTTTTATTTCCATAATTTCAATACATATTTACATTAATAACTCAATGATTGAGTGAAACATAACATAGTCTAAAAATAAAGTATATTCAACGAATCTCCCAGCTCACTATTATTTCATTTACTAACACATTCATATCTTTAAAAAAATATTAGCAACGACTTGAATTTAAAAAAAAAAGTAGGCCTATGTGGATAATAAACAGAACCATATTGCGCATAATTTATAATAATATTGAGGAGAGAACATTTCTTGTTTCCAATGTCCTTACCTACAACTAATATCTTTCATTGGTATATATATATATATATATTTTTGTAATAGGTTAAATATCAAATTACATATTATTTTCCAAAGTCACATGTAAAGTGCATTCCATAATGATTTGATAGCTTGTCGAATTTAAAGAATTTAATGGTTGGGAAGTCCCTCATCATGATTATACAAATAGAAGTTACTCATACATTACATTTAACCCTTTCTAAACAGTTATATCCAAAGGCTGATGAATATTAAAGTAAAACAGATTTTATAACTTCACTAGGCGTCAAAATGAACATATCTTGACGGTAGAAATTGCTTCAATGCAATATGCACCGTGCAGAGTATATATTTATTTTGATAAATCCTGAGCAATACTTATAGCCTTGTTTGTCAATTCTTGAAAAAAGAAAAGGCTATGACGCACCTTAGAGTAGCATGGGGTCAAACATGACAGACCTGCTTCTAGCTATCTCATCTCTAGTACGTTATAGCCTGGATCACATACAAGTGATCATGTATTATAACGGTCCCTCTATAATCAGTTTGGCCATAATATACGTTTTGGATGACGCACACGTCCCATTTATAGAACTACAGGGATGTATCAAACATAGAGTTCAGAAGATATTGAGCTGACAAGTATTGCTATATCATGTACCGAAAAACCTTAAACCTTATTTAAAATAAAAACACACACACAAAACAAAAACACGGATGCTAGCTCGAGACAAAATCTCCCCGTTGTTTTGTCAAAAAGAATCAAGATTTGCTTTCATCTTCCTTCCCAATTGCTGTCTTTTCTCAAGAATGAATGGTCTATTCAGAGCCATCAAGGAGTTAATTCATGAACTATAAAACAGAATTAGCGCACTTGTGGCTCCAAATCGACGACAATAATTACTTCTATCTATTTGAAATGGTTGCCATGATACATGTTCAACTGTAAAAAGGTATTTTGTATACAGAAAATACACGTCCATGAGTTTATTATGAACAAAAGTCATACATTATTTATATATGTTGAAGGCGATCTTAATCAGATGTAGAAGCACCACTTTCGATGGATCAAAGACTTTCTCAGTATACATTATTCTACCCCTCCCCCTTTCTGAAATCCTGCACCCACCATTGTACTCTATTTCGATGGTGTCAAATGAAAACAATACAAATGCCAGTACAGTGACATCATATAAAACAATTTCATTTTGCTACGTGCAACAACACATTAGTTGATAGACTTTCTATGTAAAAGCACAATGGCATGCTTAACTTGAGTCAACTGAGTACATGAACCGCAAGCCATTCAAATCTGCTCTGTCGAGAATGTTGACCCATTAGGAATTCCAATTAATCTAATTTTTCCTTCGATTACTTTAGACCCAGCTCATCAGAGGTGGCAAGTTCATGGTATGTAATAAGAGGATAATTGAACGTTTATATAATTTGTGGATGACTGGGGCGTAGCCTAATCCGACATTAAGAGGGGGCGGAGCATCTGAGATAATATAAGCCATTGCCCCCCCCCCCCACCCCGGTCGGGTAGGGTTTATACACCATGCCAAGCTAAGCATACTAAACTATGACCGAGAGTAGATGGGTGTCTTATACGTTTCGTGGTGCTATAAAAGCCCATGGCTACGCCCTTTCGTATGACTGCCCTACCCCCTCCCCCACCATCCATGGCATACCATGGCGGTCACGATCGGAACTTGACACATAAGCCATGTCCCACAGCTGGGTTCCCTGACCCATGCCGAACGCTAACTTTCCTAGTATCAAAGGTTCAATTACTACTTCCAACAATGACACGATATACCCATGGACCTACCTCACAAGATTAGGAGGAGACTGGAGGGGAGTGGGGGGGGGGGGGGGGAGGGGTGTAGGGTGTAGGTATCGTTAGATGATATCCACCAACAGATTTGTTATAAAGCTCTAGTCTAAGACGCTGTCACTAAAACCATGTCTACTTGGAACATAAGAAACCCAAGGAAGTATCATTCATTGACGATATGGCATAGTCCGTACAGACACATCCCGTCCAAAGATCGACGTCAATTACCCCCATTTCATGAGGACTAGCTCCTATTACTTCCGATTATACCAATCGAGAGGTTAGTAGTAAATTAGACAGAAAGTAGACTGCTTAGTCAAGCCAACATCAGGATACACCATTCCGAAGGATGTATTCTATTCAACAAAATCTGATTAAAAATGAAATGTTGAATGAATTTTTAAAAAGAAGTAGAAGATGGAATACATACGTTTAGCATATTTTGTAAATTTCATTTTTCGCTTTTGATGATGATTTTTCTCCACTTGAACATTCATAGAGGGATTTCAAAAGCAATTACGATTTTTAAGTGGTATTCACAAATCTTATCCGTGACTAGATAAAGTTCTGCAAATTGTAAATTGTTTTTGGTTGTTCCAATTTGTATGCAGTATTGATGATATCTAAGACGGTATTACATGGCTATAGATGACATTCATGAGAAGTGCAGTCTCTCCCACTCGCTCCATCTTCCCCTCTCTCTCTGCATTTTCCCTTGTAATACTGTTGCCCTTGCCCTTTTCTATACATACATGTAAATGTAAATTTCTGCCCCCTGGAAAAGTTCCCAGTGTGCCCCAACGAGCTTCATGACATACCAACTACCCCCTCGGTATACCAACAGATGCTAGAGAGGATCCCGATATAAAAAAAATCATCTAGGAGGGGGCGTTGCCCATTATGGAAGTCGTTTTTCCAGTCGCCAAACGCCTACGTATTATAATCTAATTTACTAGATTGCACATCACCGGCTTCTTAGATCTATTCAAAGTTAATGATAATGCTGCCCAGCATCAGAAGAGGAAATATTTTGGTCCGAATGTACATGACATTAGTCCCGCCAGGCCGGCCATAGTTGTAAGAAAACATGAGCTATAACTTTAGACAGTCGAAAAAGCAACGGTGTGCGAATTTACAGTAGCTGAAGAGGTTGAAAAGGCATCGAGTAATACCTGAATTATAAAAGATTCCAGCATTTGAATATTAAAGTTTTGTTGTATTTTGCTTCTTAAAGGGATAGTTGAGTTCTATTGCAGAGGGCGCTACACAAAATATTTGTTTGTGAGATAATGAAAAACTGAGTGTCAAATTTGAAAGAACATAATATTTAAATGACAAAATCATCTTGTTTGATCAAAATTGGTTCAGAGACGGCTGAAATAGAACGATTTCTAATACTTATGTACCACCACAAGTATTAGATATTTTGAAAAAATTGAAAAATACCGTTGAAAAAACGAAATAACGCCTTTTACGTCGTATTTCAGCCAATGCGGATGTTGTTTTTTTGTTGGCATTTTCGTGTTGCTTATATTACGCACAACCAGCCGGCCCATGTATTGTTATTTTTAATTAAACAATTAACGGTCACCGTGTTTTTTTTAAGTGGAGCTGAATTGGTATGCTCGTATTGGCTAAATTTTAAACATTTTGGGGTCTAAAATTACCTTCATAGCAATTGTAGGTTCTAAAAGGGCACTAGAAATGTCATAGATAAGAATAAGAGCAATAACCATGCACTTTGAAGGCATTTGCGGTCTGAAAACAGAACTCAACTATCCCTTTAATGATGTAAATGATTACCTCAAAATATCACCTAGATTATTTTCTTCTTTGAGAAAACAAGTATTGCAAGTTAACCATGTTCATCAAACTTGAAGTCCAAAATCTTCATAACATTCTTGTCTGAGTGAGAAAAAGAAGACGTGAGATCTGGCTTTAAAAGCAGAAGAAGTGACAATCTTTTCATCCGCTATTAGAGTTTCATACTTCAAATGATGTTTGCTCATACCCTCGTTGTTGAAGCACTGAACAAAGATTTATGAGTGGACTCACTGTGCCTCTTTGTCGTCTGCTTCGCTTGGTCGATTGGCGGGAAAGGAGTGAGTTACTTAATTTTAATAAATCATTGACTCGGACGTCCGCTCTCTTGATAAAAAGAAAAAATGAAAATTGTTCCGTCACAAAACATAAATGGACATAGAGATGAAGAATTAAGGTTTAAGGTTAAATTATACTACATATTGAGGCAATGTATCCTATCCGACAAGGTAGTCTGTTCTCTTATTATAGATTTATCATTGTCAATAAATTCACAGGGATGTCCTTGAGCAGATCGAGTATGCTTCGCTTGATTGACTGGCTTGTGCGATCTTTGATGCGACCACTACAGCGTGACGAATGGCCGAGATGAACACAGTCTGATAGAATCTTGTTCATGCCAATTAAGCTTGGTTTAACCTGACGGCATCCTCTATCGCTTCTATACATAAGGGAATGTTCACACAGCCAGCAGAGATCATTCATGTTGTACACAACTCTTTTAAATGAAATGTTTTGCTACTGCTAAAAATGCTATTAGAATTAGAAGATACACGAACGTTATGATCGACCACGTCAACCAAAGGAGATTATGATGGGTTTCTATCTTCTTCTATGG